GATATATAATTAAATAATAATATTAACTAATATTATAAATATTAAACTATTTTTAAAAAAGTATTCTATTTCTATTATAGTTAGAATTTAATAATTAATATATTATTAATAATCTCTAGATTACTATTAGATCTAAATAAGATTTTTTATAATATTTTTAAATATTCAAGACTCTTATTTATAGTTAAAATATATAAAAAATTTAAAATATATCTAGATATTAAAAATATATAGTTTTTTAAAATATTTTTAATTAAATTAATATAATTCTAGATACTATAGAATATATTAATATTTTTATTTATTAAAAATCTTATTATAATTAATTTTCTATTCTTTATTAAATAACTAGAGATTTTCTTTTAATTATAATTAATAATATTAATATTAAATATTTTTTAATAATTTTTAAGATATCTGCTACTATTATCAGAGCTGTCTTTATTTTAATATAATTAAAATAATTATATTTTAAATATATATTAATTATTTTATTATAAAAAAATATTAGAATATATTTAATAATCTTAATCTAGATTTAATTATCTTTATATTTAAAAAATAAAAATAAAATAAAATAATTATTATCTTCTATATTAATAAGAATAAGAATATAAATAATCTTAAAGATAATTTAGAGAATAGATTATTATTAAAATTAAAAAGACTAATCTTATTTAAGTCTTTAATTATTATGTATGTTTAAATAAAAATAAAAATCTGATTTTTATAATTTCTATATTATTATAATTATTATTCTGAATAATATAAAAAATAAATATTTTATATCTTTTTTTATATTTTTTATATTAAATTTTATAAAAGATTTTTTTAGAGTATAATATATTTTTTAAAATAATTAATTAAATAGATCAAATAATAGACCATATATAAAGAATATTATTATACTATAATTAAATATATATTATATTTTATATATTATTTATATAAAAAGAATATATATATTATAAATTAATCTATAATTATTAATTTATTTATTATATCTAATTTTTCTAATTAATATATATAAATAATTTAAATTATAGTTATATCTTAATCTAATCTTAATTATATAGTTAAAAATTTCTATATCTTAATCTAATTATCAGATTATGGCCAGATTAAAATTAAGATATAACAGTCAGGTTAAGCCACTCTAAAATAAATAAATAATATAATTAAGATATATATCTATATTTATATTTTATATAATCAGATTAATTAAAAATAGCTATTATTTTTAAAAGAGCTGGCTTTAAATAATTATATATTTTTATTTATTAAAATAAGTTTTTTTTTTCTGAGTCACAGATATTATCTTATATTATTTTTATTAATTAAAAATTAAGAATTATTAGTAAAAAAATTAATATAAAGTCTAATCTAATATAAAGAAGCTATTATATAAATTATTAAAAAGATTTAAGAATAAATATAAATATTAATTCAATAATTTATATATAAAGAAAATAAGAAATCAAGTAAGTTAACAGAGAGATCTAATACTTAAATATAAAAGAAATAAAATTTAACTAAATATAAAAAACATCTATATAAAATTATAAATTAATTTAATAAAAAATATAATTAAAAAAATATTAAATATATAATTATAAAAATAATCAGTTTTTATATTATATAGTTAAATATATTTATTAAGATTTATTTAATTTTTTATATAAATTTTCTTTATTTTATATTATCAGATCTATTATTATTTTAAGAATTAGATAATATATAATTATTAGAACTAATAATTAATAATAAAAGAATTTATAATAGAAATGATTTAGAAATAGAAATATATAAAAAAATTATAAAATGTAATTTTAATATAAGATTAAATAAATAAAATATATTTATATAATTTAGAAGTCTGTCTCTGCTCTATAAAAAATTAAGATTTTTAATAATTAATTAAAGCTTAAAAATAATTATTAGATTTCTGGATAATCTATTATGAATATTATCTAATTAATAAATTTTTATTTTTTAAGAAAAAGGAAAAAAAGATAATAATAAAAAAAATAATTATAATAATTTTTTTTTAAAAAAAAGCAGAGAGACTTTTTAATCTAATTAATTTAATCTTTTAATTTTTTAATAATAGCGCGAAAAAGTACTGTAATATTTATAAATTAATGATTTATCTTATTTTTATTAATATATATATACTAGATTTTAAAATCGTTTTATTTATATTTAGAATAATATCTCTCTTAATATTTAAATAATTATATATTTTTAAAATAAATAGAGCGAATAGTATTACTATATAAGATAGATTATAATAAATTATAGAAAATAATAAAAATAGTATTAATATATAATAAATATATTACTTTTAATAATAGCTCGCAGAAGAGCAGTAATACTTGTAAATTAATATCTTATTTTTTTATTAATATATATATATCTTATTCTATAATCTTTTTACTTACAGCCGGGCCCCGGCACATTATCTATTTTAAAAATCAGAAAATCATATAGTTTTTAAAAAAAATAAAATAAATATTATTATTATAAGAAACAGGCTGCTGTATATTATAAGAAATAAATAAAATAATATTAATATATAATAAATATTCTGTCTTTATAAATAATAAATTTATATAACAGAAATTATCAAACTTTTTTTTATATATTAATATAATAAAGCTAATATAAAATCTTATTTTTATAGATAGTAAATTATATAATAATATATTAATTCTTTTTTAATTTAAATTTATAAATAAATATAATAAGCTTATTATAAAATAAATCTGTCTGCGCAGAAAGAGATAGATAATATATAAATAATAAATAAATATTAAAAAAATAATATCTTCAGTCTTATATTCTTTAATTATAATTATAAGAATAAAAAGAATATAATTAATATATAAAAATAAAAAAAGAGATATATGTATTAGAAATAATAAAAGAAATTATTAGAATTAAAAAAAGAGATTTATTAAAAAGAAATTATTAGAATTAAAAAAAGAGATTTATTAAAAAGAAATTATTAGAATTAAAAAAACAGATTTATTAAAAATAATAAATATAATTATTAACCTATTTAAAAAGCTAAGTTTAGAAGAGTTTAAAAAAATAAAAAAATATTTATTTATATAAGAAATAAATTATTTATATAACTAAGCTAATATATAAAAACAGAAATTTTTAAGACTATTTATAAATTAGATAGATCTATATAAAATAAGAACAGAAATACTGTTATAAAGATTAAAGACTTTATATAAATTCTTTAAACTCTAAATACTCAGCAATACCTGTATAATATATTAAATAAAATAAGAAATAATATTATATGAGAAAGAGATAAAAAATATAAATTAAATATTTTCATTTTCTTTTCTCTTCTTTATTAACTTCTTCTGTATCAACAATCAATCATTAGGTTAGTATAATCCAATCATTCCCCTAACAAATATTATTTTATCTCTAAATATATATTAATAAAAATATAATTTATTATATTTATATATATTAGATTTATATAATAATAATAAGTTTTTATTAGAGATATTTTTTAATCTTATTTATAAATAAGATTTTGTAATATTTAATAATCATTATATAAAATTATATAAAATAGATTTATAGAAGCTGTTTATAAATCTAGAATTATTTATAAAAATCTTTATAAATCTTTTTTTAAATAAATTTCATTATATATTTTCTTAATAATAGAATCTATAAAAGTTTTTTATAAATCTTAAAAAAATATTATTTTAGTTGAAGTCTTTTTTATTATAATTTTCAGAAAATATAAATTTTAAATTTTTGAATAAATTAAATAGACAGAGTAATATAGAATATTATAATTAAATAATATAAATAATTTATAATATCAAAATCTATAATAAATATTTAGAAGATTTTTTAAGTCTATAAAATAAATAATAAATCTAGATATTATTATATAAAAAAGTTTACTAAGAGATTTATTAATCTTAAAGAATTATTTAAAAAATATTAATAATTTATAAATAATATATAGCTAAAATAGAGCTATAAATATATATATTTATTATTATTTTATATTATAAAAATAGTTTTTTATTCAAAGCTTAATTTTTATTATTATTTAAAATAATATTAAATTAATTAAAATAATATAAAATAAAATATACTATTTTCTTTTTTTAATTATCTTTAAAATTAAAAAGATTTATTTTATATAAATTATTAGTAAAGATATAAATAATTAAAATAAATAAAGATTAATCTAAATATATCTTATTTAAGCTAAGATCTAAAAAATATAGAAAATAGATCTTAATATTAAAAATAATTAAAATAATTAATTATTTTATTTTTAATTATTAATCTGATAGCAGAATGCAGATATAAACTTTTCTATTAATCTACTCTATCCTGGCTGTTAACCACTCTATTATAAGCTACTATAGTATTATAAATTAAATAAATTTAATCTTTTTAAATAATTTTAATTATAAGAGAGAATCTATTCTTTTATTTTATTAAGTCTTTTAATAATCAAGATATTTTTAATAAAGAAATTATTATCTGTATAGAGACAGTTTTAAGAACATGATAATGATTGACAAGATGGCCAACTCGCTTACGGATTACTTTATACATGCAGGCAGGCGAGCAGGTTGAAATGGGTATATATAATTGTACATATGTCGACGGGTTGAGATAGGTAGCTACGCGCAGGCAGGTTCTTACCTGTATACTATCGCGTACGCTGTAGTAGGAGTATTCTATTATATTTACCATAATCATACAACCACACTAGTTCCCTTTAGGTCAGGGCTTCAGATGGATCTAAGAGGTGTTCGAATACCAGGGGGGAGGGCGGCCATATACATACTGGAAAAAAGGTTGTCCCGCCATTATATCGGCAAATGCAATGCCGCCTTAGGAGCACATGATTCTCCTATCTTGTCGATTTAGATTTATGATTTACAGTTGTCTGCCCCTCCAAGCCTTCAGGTAGACTTAAAAGTCGCCTACCGACACAGACAATGGAATCTGCGATGCAAAACTCGAATCCCACTATTTTAAACATTGCAGATCTTCCAACTCGACTGTATCCTGAACCTTCTGGCAAATCGGGCACACGCAGAGTCGGCATTTTTGCGTCTACAGATTCTTCTGTCGCAGACCCCTCAAATTTTGCTGTCAGTCCATATGCATCCGCGGAGTCCGACGACGATGTGAATTTGATGGAAGAACCCATCGACGAGCAGGAGATCTATGGTAAGTTGCCCACCCTCCGTCGGTAAAATGTCCAGGGCTGAGTCTGACGGTCTTTCAGATCTTGTATCCACCATATCGGACCCCGAACACCCGATTTCTTTGGGAGCCTTAGCAGTTGTGTCACTTCCAGACATTGAAATCACACCAACGCTTCCCGAGGTGCCGGGCTCACTTGTTCGAACAGTGACTGTCCTCATAACCCCAACAATCACGCACTGCAGTCTCGCAACGGTCATAGGCCTTGGTGTACGAGTTCGGCTCGAGCAATCACTGCCGCCCCGTTTCCGGGTCGATGTGCGGATTAAGGAGGGAACACATAGCACAGCTGAAGAAGTTAATAAGCAATTAGCTGATAAAGAAAGAGTAGCTGCTGCACTAGAAAATGGGACACTAATGGGCGTCATCGCGAAGATGCTTGAAACATGCCAATGATCAACTTAATCCGCACTCCCAACACTACTTATCCCCAAGGTTGGCCTTTGTAATTTGTCGCATGATTACGCGTTTCAAATGTCTTGTTTGGGTTCTCGCAAGTAGTAATACATTCAAATGAAAATGACCCGTTACGACTTCTGCAGCTGTTTCTTCGTGGACTTCAACAGAAGAACGGCTCATGAGTCCAAGACGCCACTCTCTTTCAAACCTTTCCATAGTTCCGGTTCCAGGAATTTACTCACAGTGACATCCTCCGCAAGGCCTTTTCGTCTCCTAGTTTTCAAGACAAAATCGCGAGCTGTGGCCATTGCTGGTGCCATTTCCAGAGGCTTTACCTTGACGTCACGATCCAACGGATCTCCCGGAACCACGGTCCATTTATCAAAGACAAGACTGACAGAGGCTTGGCCCTGTGTGTGAATTCGAAGGTCTGTTTCAAAACCAAACGAGTCTATCACTGGAATCAAACCGCGCACAGAATAGAGGGGTGTCCCTGCTATCGGTCCATCCGAAAGCACATGACCCCTTCGGCGTGAAAGTACAGTATATACAGATGCGACAGCATCTGCAGGCCCTGTCATTGTGCAGGAGTATAGTGGCTCCATCAAGCGAGGAGATGCCATAAGGAAAGAGGAGTAAACTGCCCGTCGGGCCGTGGGGATGATCTGGCCACCTCCTCTGTAAATGGCTTGATCGGCGAGAGAAACGTCGGTGACTCTAAACTTTGAATTCCGAATAGCTATAAATACAGTTAGTCATTTCGAGCCGAGTTCCGAGTCCGCCATATTTTGGCCGGATTCCGACGTGAAATTTTATTGCCCCAGGCCGCCAATGATGCGGAGTGGAAGAAGTGTATGTAGACTTACGTTCTTCACAGAGAGGACCCTCCCTTGTTCCCCAACTGAACCCCTGTGTGATGGAATCCCTGACGCTTCCAAGTAATTTCTTGTCGACTTGCGATGGTAGTGTATCGTCTTGTAGGATGTTGGGGCCCATCTCGTCTGGACCGAAGGCCCATATGCTTCTCGCCGCAAGTTTATCCCAGTCGTATCTTTCTTCAAAGAAGCGCGCTACTTTCCGGATTGGATCTTTGATATTGACCAAACCACTCTCGATATCTTCGGCGACCCCCTCATCTAGAGGCTCCGCAATCATCGTGATCTTATTCTTTTTGTTCGGCGTAATAGAATAGCACATGATGGCCGAAGTCTCCACAATGGTCTCGCAAAACCGCGTAACGGGGTCTGAAACTTTGATCTCCATCTCTGAATAGAGTCTCCGGAGATCATGTAGGACGCAGTCCATATACAGCTCTCCTGTTCCCAGAACCACGTGTTCCCCGGACTCCTCTACTTTTGTAGAAATCAAAGGATAGCTCTTGTTCACTTTTCTTAGGCCTTCAAGCATTTTGGGTAACTCAGACGGATTCACAGGCTCAACGGCGACTTTAAATACGGACTCTGTCATGTGTCGCACCGGTCTGAAAATGTATGCCTCTTCATCTTCCAGAGTGAGTGGGACAATAGTTGCCGTCTTCACAATGGAATTATCCACACCACCCAGAAGAACCCAGTTTCCAGCCGGCACACCGGTAGTTGGTATATTATAGCAAGACTCGGCGATCCATGTATCGGAAATTGTTGCAGTCACCATGTCCTCTTCATCTTCGGGGGTATATCCCTCGCCGAGCACGCGCACCTGTTGACCAGGGCGAGCGGTCCCGCTCATTACTCTGCCAAATGAATGGAAGCTTGAACCGTCTGGACTGTTGAAAAGCTTGGTGACATGGATTATGAGAGGACCATCGGGATCACACATAGCCATAGCCTCCGCTGCCTTGGTATCGAGAGGCCCGGTGTAGTGTCGTTCAAGTTTTCCTGCGGCACCCTCCGCAGGCGAAGGAACATGCTGAAGGATCATGTCCACAAACCCTGTCAAGGGGCCAAAAAATTGCTCGCAGGCCAGCTTGAGTACAGTCTTTGCATCTGCTTTGAGCTGCGAAGGTTTCAGACTTATCCCGACACTAGCAAGAGTTTCTTTTAGGTCTTCTGGGCCTTCACTTAATGCGTGCGAGTAAAGCTTGTAAATCGGGTCCAGAATAAACTTGACAAAAGTTCTCGTAGAATATTCTTCCACTCCTTTTCGTGTAAATTTCCGGCTTCTTGGGTTGAAAAAAATATCACCCCAGAGGCGTCGACAGAAATCGGCTGTGTCAACCTGGGGATAAGTTTCTGCATACATTTTGGCGAATGAATGCAATGTAAAACACCAACCCATGGAGGCACAAGCAAAAGCAACATTTCCCTTCTCGGGGCTTAGTCGTCTTGTTTCGCCCTGCCCAGGAAGTACACCTTCGATGATAGTGTTAACTTCTTCAATCACATGTTTCAGTTTGAAATAGGCATCGTTAGGGGGGATTTTTAGCTCCAAGATCAATCGGTCCATCTTGTTCACGACCAGTGTCAGCGGGAGCCCATCAAGGATAGCATGTTTAATTATTTGCTCGGTATTAGCCTGGACACCTTCAACCACATCCACTACGAGAACCACACCATCGGCTAGTCGGCATGCAGCAGCTACTTCATCCACGAAGTTCACATGTCCCGGAGTGTCGAGAATGTTAAACAGATGGGATTTTCCTTTTGTGCCTTGGAGGACTAAGCTCATCGGAGCCGCTTTGATGGAAATACCTCTTTCTCTTTCTAGGAAATGGTTATCGGTGTAGCGGAGTTGTTCCTCTTTTCGTCTGCCTGTTCGTTTCTCTAGCCGGTCGGTGAGGTCATGGGTTTGTGTCACGAGTGTGTCCATGAAAGCTGTCTTCCCATGGTGTAAATGACCGACGAGGGCGATGTTCCTTGTTTGATCCGGGAAGCTAAGTAGGTCTGTCATGAATTCCCTAGAGAAATGAACAGGAGGCAATTCTGCCTCCTCAATCGTGAACTTCTTCTGCCGGACTGGGGCGATGATGGGCTCAGAAAGAGGCTGGGCATCCTCTTCTTGAACCAGGGTTTCAACGTCTTCGCCGTACACCTGCTGCGCGCTGGGATAGTACTGCTTGTCTTCATGGAGGACGACCGCATTTGATGGACCTTCTGCTAAGAGTGTCAACACGGGTATTTCTCGCGCGGCAGGGGAGGGAGGCCTACCATCCACATCCATTAAATTTACGCTGGCATTGTCCCCCTCCTCCCCACCAAACGCCTCGTCAAAGGTGAACGCTTGGGGGTCGACTTCTTCATGATGTGTAGACTCGTCGCCCGAGTCAACCACCTCGCCTATATAATTGCCAAACCTTTAAAGAGGGGGGTGGTTACCCGTCAGTTGGGAAAGAACAATAGTAAGACTTGGACACGTACTCATCATAAAGGTCGTCCATATTTCGACCTTTGGAGTCGCCAGATTCGACGTGAGCGTTTTTGAAGTCCTTCGCTCTTTGGGGGCCTATTCCACCTTTTCGGTGAAGCTTGCTTCGGGTCCTGGGGATAAGTTTCTCTAGCTCCGGGGCTCGCTCGAGCTTGGCGTGTTTGCTGCTCCGGCGGCGAGTTACTCCGTAAGTAGTACGTTTGTCCGTTGCCCCGCAGAAAGAAGAGGATAGGAGGGGCAGCAAGAAGGAGAGGGAGAAGAGAGGGGCCGCACGGGAGCAAACAGCTACTAGATTTGTCTCACCGACCGCAACAGCACCTCATACGTACTCCGTTTATCTTACCCGCTTCTTCCCTGGTGGCCTGAGCTAGAGGGACTGCCTGCCCATCTTCTTGTTTCTTACCGCTCAATTCTCCCTCCTACCTGTCCTCGTGATCGCTCTCTCTTGACGACATACGGATCTCCCCTATCTTCGAATCACACAATGTCTTCGCTTCCTCCAGTTTACATTGTTTCCTCCGCCCGTACTCCCGTGGGATCCTTTCTAGGGTGAGACCCGTTCCCATCGTCTCATTTTAACTTGGCCACGGTAAAACTGATTCCAGGCTTTGCATATAGCTCCCTGTCGAGTCGGACTGCCCCGCAGCTGGGCTCGCATGCTATCAAAGGTGTGACGGATGCAACACCCGAGCGATCCCTGATTTGTGTTTCTGACAAGTTCGATGCGCAGCTGCCTTGAGCAGAGCCGATGGCTTAAAGCCATCCGATGTGGAGGAAGTTTTCTTCGGAAATGTTCTTACTGCAAAGTAAGTCACTCGTTACTCTTAACCGGTACGCCGTTGATCGTGGCCCGGGTTAATTATCTGCAATCAGTGTCGGCCAGAACCCTGCCAGGCAATGTGCTCTCGGTGCCGGGCTTGACGAGTCTACGGTGTGCACTACTGTTAACAAAGTTTGTGCTTCGGGCTTGAAGGCCGTCATTCTCGGCGCCCAGACCATCATGACTGGAAATGCAGACATCGTCGTGGCCGGTGGCACCGAGTCTATGTCTAATGCCCCTCATTACCTCCCAAATCTTCGCACTGGCGCAAAATATGGCCACCAGAGCCTGGTGGATGGGATCATGAAAGATGGTCTCACAGATGCAGGCAAGCAGGAACTCATGGGCTTGCAAGCGGAGGAGTGCGCCCAAGATTATGACTTCAGCAGGGAGCAACAGGATGATTATGCCATTCGCACCTACGAAAAAGCCCAGGCCGCGCAGAAAGCCGGTCTCTTCGATGATGAGATCGCGCCCATTGAACTCCCCGGCTTTAGGGGCAAGCCAGGTATCACCGTGACTCAAGATGAAGAGCCAAAGAACGTGAGGATCTATGCCCGCTATGCCCGGCGAATCAGATACATCATTCCGTCCTGTGCATATGCAGCTAACTCTTTTCCCTTTATTTATTTAGCTTAACCCCGACAAGCTTCGAAGCATCAAGCCTGCATTCATCCCTGGGTCTGGAACTGTGACGGCTCCTAATTCTTCGCCCCTCAACGACGGTGCCGCCGCTATTGTTCTAGTCTCTGAGGCTAAATTGAAAGAATTAAATCTCAAGCCCATTGCAAAGATTCTTGGATGGGGAGATGCTGCGCACCAGCCCAGCAAATTCACAACTGCTCCGGCCCTCGCTATCCCCAAAGCCCTCAAACATGCAGGTATTGCTCAGGATTCCGTGGATGCATTTGAGATCAACGAGGCCTTCAGTGTTGTTGCCCTTGCGAATATGAAGCTGCTCAACATCCCCGAAGAAAAGGTCAATGTACACGGTGGTGCCGTGGCTATTGGTCACCCGATTGGTGCCAGTGGTGCTCGGATCCTGACTACGTTGCTCGGCGTTCTCAAGGCAAAGAAGGCCAAGATTGGCTGTGTGGGCATCTGCAATGGTGGTGGCGGCGCGAGCGCCATGGTTGTCGAATCACTCCTCTAGATTCATGCTGTATATTATGACATTGCACTGTGGTACATTGCACTGTGGTCTAGACCAGGTTCGAAATCTGAAACAATTTAGGCCACTACCGGGACAAAGAGAACCCTTCTATTGTGAGCCTAGCCTTGCTGCCCTAGTTTAGGTGGTTTGAGGCCAGGGAGATCATAATTATCCGCAGTCGCAACAGCGTACCGCGGACATTTGCCACCTGCCTCAGGGTCTTTTACAGAGTATATGATTTCCTGGGCGACGAAACATCTTAATTTGCCTGATAATTGTAAACCTGTGCATCGTATCCACGCCTATACTCTGGTTGTGGTCTTGGATAAGAAATGTCAGACCGATGGCTCGTGCTACGTGGATAACGGTGAAACCTTCGAGTACGAGCGTGGAACCTACATCCACCAGTTCACCTTCCAGGGGTCCAGGCTGGTCTCGGAGGATATCAGTAGGCCAACGACGAAAATAATGCGGTCGGTGTATATTACAGGCAGATAACTGTATGCTTGGTTAATCCATTCTAAACCGATTCATTGATTGATGTTTGGAGGCGACGATGGATTCGACACCAATAAAGCTGTCCTGAAATCAAGGTAGAAACAATGCATGATGATCAATTCATGTTACATGGTAACAAGGGCATGGACTGTATAGTATAACTATAGCCAATATTGCTACATCGGTAAAATGATTACGTTCGATGATTAAGCGAACGCACCGACGAATGCCATTAGTAGTGCACCCCCTGCAACAGCCATACAGGCCTCCGTGCGCCTTTTCCCCCTGAGTGTTGCATAGCTTGTTTCACTGAGGAAGTCTTCTGCAAGAAGCTCTACAAGCCCTGCAAATAGCAAAAGTCCGCTGCTGATCGCGTTGGTAATCCCAACCGTAAGTAGGCCTGTTGTGCTAGCTGGATCATAAAGATTATGGAGAATAAGACCAATGGCTTGGCCGATGGGAGTGGTAGTGCCATAAGCAAGTGCCATGAACCATGGTCTGAATGACGACGGGGAAAACAAATCCGGAATCAGAGACGCGATTCGAGACCCCAGAGCAAATCCCTCAAAGGTCTGGTGGAAACAAATTGCCACAAGAAGGACAATAAATGATGTTCCAGTGGCAACACTAAGAGCCATTCCGATGAAAATACTGTGAAACAGAATGCCTGCCTCAAGTAAAAGACACTGGAGCAACTGACGCTGTGGATTCTGTCTAGACTCAATGTCCGATCGTTGACGCGTCGCAGCGTGAGACGCATGGTCGCATGTATGCCAATGTTCGTCCTGATGCCCTTTTTGCGCATCAACATGGGCAGTTTCAGGTGAGCTTGACCTTCCATATTCCACATCGCAATTTCCTAGGGGTGTGGTCTGGTCTTTTCCATGCGGAGTAGTAGATCCATCTGTAGATGTACGTGCGGGTGAAATAGAATGCTGTGATTCTGCATGCACACCAATATTCATCTCAATGCTGTCAAGCGGATCATCACCTAGAACATTTCCGTAGCCAATTTCATCCCGGTCGTCACTTCTAAAGTCCGCGCCAACATCACTGATGAGTTGGTCATATTCACTCCCGTGAACATGGCCTGCTCCTTTAAGAGCAAAAAACATTTCCACAAGAACAACAACAAATACAGAAATCATGGCTATAAACCCTGCCATGGCACGATACGTTTCGCTCCAGAAGCGAGGGAGGCAGGGGTCGGTTAGCGAAACAAATGCTGTAGGCAACAGATGGACAAAGGCTGTGGCAATCAGTACCCCTGTCCCAAAGTGCCTAGAAAGGAAAAGAAAACGGCGTGGAATCGGTAGTCGCGGAAATCGACGAGCAATCACGGGGAAGGAACAGGCTGATACAATGATATGTTAACCATGGATCAGGGGACGAATGAGATTTATATATACCTAAAGTACTCAATATCAGGATAAGGAATAGTGCAAAAACATGGGTCGAGGTATCATATGCGCCTTGTTCTCTTGAGCCACATGTTGTGGTGCCATCGCTCGATGCCTGGGAATTACTTCGCCGAGACAGTTCATTCCGGAGGACAGCATCTGGAAGATCTGAAATTAGAGACAAAACAGGTCTGGTCCCTGAGTGTAGTTATGTTAGCAAATGGCAAAGCAGTGTTGGGCCGCCTCATGCTTTAACAGAACGACAGCAACAACCGGGTCCACAATCTAGCGAGTCCTCCCTCAAAACTTACTAGAAGTGCTGATGTCAGCCTGCTCCAAGCTTTCAAATGAGTTCATTCTTATATGAGTATGTAACCCTCCACTCTTGCAACATCCATGGCCCAAAGGCAGGCTTGAGGCACCTAAAATTGCCCGCGAAAAAACAGCGGTGTGAATACAACCCCGCCTAACTGATTAGTCTGTTGTGATGTGTTTTGTATTGCAGAGAAGCACGCACTGAATCCTGCAGTACTATAAAAGTTTGGGTCAGGCGGTTGTCGGACGTGGGAGGCAACTCCCCTGGCTGAAGCAATAAGTAGGAAGAGGCATGTTGCAGGCTTTAGGATAAACCGGCCACGCGGCTCAATTGTTGGTTGATCTTATCGATCAGTTAACCAGATGTCACTAACAAAGGGGAGTGCCTAAAACTACAACACACTAGATATATTATAACAAGATTCTTATTTTATTATATCAGCTTTCTCTAAATTTAATAAAAATAGTAAAAAAAGAAGTATATATATATATATATATATATATTATATAATAAAGCTATAACTTTAAGATTTTTTTTAAAAAAAAAAGATTTATAGTCCTCTACATTATATTAAATAATATATATTAAAAATTATTATTAGAGTTTTTATTCTTACTGTTAAATTTATTTAAAAAAATTAGATATAAAAATTAAATATTAAATTCTTAGTAAGTAATAAGTAGTGATAAAATATTATTAAATATATTATAGATTTAGTCAATCCTCTAACAAAGTACTCTGTACTTGGTACAAGGTACAGTACCTACTTAGTGGTTTATTACCGTGTAAGAATGAAAACTGGCCTCCAGGTATCACCGCTTGCTCCCTTTGGTTAGAAAGAATTCTGAAAGGCCATTAACCTGCCTGAATGTGCGATTCTGTCTGACCAAATGGCTTGAAGAGAAATGCAGCGAAAGGGATATGATGTCTTGTGTTTTATTTATATTATCAATCGCCGCCTGGTTCTGCCAGATAGAAGGCAATAATACCTATAAAGTCAGAGTATATACTAGATAGAGTGACTAACAGTCAGGATAGATTAATAATAATAGTTAAGAAATTTAGATAATAGTTAAAATATTTTATAAGAATTAAAATAAATATATAATTATTATTTAAATAATAAATATAATTTAAACTAGATAATTATATAACTAATTCTTAAATTATATAATATATAGATATTATTATAAAGTTTTTAATAATTAAAAATTATTATATAAAATAGATTTTAAATTAATAAATTATATATTAAATATAGTCTAGTTATATTAAATAATATTTAAAATATAATTTATAAATAAATATTAAATATAATTTATAAATAAAATATAAAAATAAGTATATTAAGTTATTAACTAACAGAAATTTAATAAAGATTTTTTATAATCTATTATTTAAAGACAGAGTACAGACAGAGTTATAGAATAAATAAATAATATAATTAAAATATATATTTATATTGATATTTTATATAATCAGATTAATTAAAAATAATTATTATTTTTAAAAGAGCTGATTCTAAATAGTTATATATTCTTATTTATTAGAATAAATTCTTTCTTTTTAAATTATAAATATTATCTTATATTATTCTTATTAATTAAAAATCAAGAATTATTAATAAGAGAATTAATATAAAGTCTAATTTAATAAAAAGAAGCTATTATATAAATTATTAAAAAGACTTAAAAATAGATATAAGTATTAATAATCTATATATAAAAATAAATAAAAAAGCAAGTAAATTAACATAAATATAAAAATAAAATAAAATATAGCTAAATATAAAAAATATCTATATAAACTAATTTAATAAGAAACTTAACTAAAAAAATAAATATATAATTATAAGAATAATTAATTCTTATATTATATAATTTAATATATTTATAAATATTTATTTAATTTTTTGTATAAATCTTCTTTATTCTATATTATCAGACTTATTATTATTTTAAGAATTAAATAATATATAATTATTAGAACTAATAGTTAATAATAAAAAAGAATTTATAATAAAAAGACTTAAAATAAAAAATATATATAAAGAAATTATAAAGTATAACTTTAATATAAGATTAAATAGATCAGATATATTTATATAATTTAAGAGTTAATCTCTGCTTTATAAAGAACTAAAGCTCTTAATAATTAATTAAAATTTAAAAATAATTCTTAGATCTTTAGATAATTAAGTATTAACTAATAATATTACTTAATTAATAAAATTTCTCTGAATAATTAATTAATAATATTTTTTAATTAATAAAATTATATCTTCTGCAGAAAAGAATAAAAAAATAAAAAAAATAAAAAATAAAAATTCTTTTTATTTAATTTATTTAGTTTTTTAATTTTTTAAAAATAATACAGAAAAGCAGTATAGTATTAATAAATTAATATCTTATTGTATTTTTATTAATATATATATAACAGACTCTGTAATCTTTTTATTTATATTAATTATAATATTTATTTTAGTATCTAAATAGTCAGATATCTTCAAAGAAGATAGAGTAAGTATTATTAATATATAAAATAAACTATAATAAGTCACAGAAAATAATAAGAATAATATTAATATATAAAAAATAAATAATTCTTAGCTAATAAAAAAGAATTATAATTTATATTAATAATATTTATATAAGATATAAAAATAAGTATCTATTTCTGTAATAAACAGTAATCTAATATAAATAATAAATTTATATAAGAAAAATCTTTGAATTCTTTTTTATAAATTAATATAATATAATTAACAGAGAATCTTATTTTCTTAAATTATAAAATATATAAGTATATACTTGCTCTTCTTTTATAAAAACTTATAAATAAGTATAATAAGTTTATTAATATATAGTTTAATCTGAATAGATTTGATAAAATTATATAAAAATATATAAGAGCTATAAATAAAATATTTTTAAATTAATTATAATTACAGAGATTAGAAAGAAATTATATTAATATATAAGAAAAAAAGTAGAAGAAACCTTAATAAAAAATAATATAAAAATATTAGATTATTTATAAAATTATATTCAAAGATAATAAAAAATCAGAAGATTATTATTTATATAAAAAACATTCTTTATATAATAAAAATAATATGTAAATCAGAAATCTTAAAGCTATTTATAGATAAGATAGATATATATAAAATAAAAAAAGAAATACTATTATAAGATTCTTATATAAACTCTTTAAATCTTAAAGACTTAATAATATCTATATAAATACTTTGTTTAATATATTATAATTAAATAAAGCAAGAGATAGTACTATATAAGAAAAGATAAAAGAATATAATTTAAATATTCTTATTTTCTTTTTTTTTCTTTATTAATTCCTTCTGTATCAACAGTCAATCATTGGATTAGTTTAATTCAATCATTCCCCTAACATTACTAGCTTAAAAAGTATTACTAAATAAATTAATATTATTATATAAAATAATAAATAAAGAATTATTATTAGAGTGGCTTAATCTAATCATTATATCTTAATCTTAATCTGACCATAATCTGACAGTTAGATTAAGATATAAAAAATTTTTAACTGTATAATTAAGATTAGATTAAGATATAATTATTATTTTAACTATTTATATCTGCTGATCAGAAAGATCAGATATAATAAATAAATTAATAATTATAGATTAATTTATAATATATATATTTTTTTATATAAATAATATATAAAATATAATATATATTTAATTATAATATAATAATATTCTTTAGATATAGTCTACTGCTTAATTTATTTAACTAATTATCTTAAGAGATATATTATATTTCAAAAAAGGCTTTTACAGAATCTAATATAGAATAAATAAGAAAAAATATAGAATATTAAATTTAAAATATAATTATCTAACTAATTAATCTGATTAATCTGATTAAATCTAGTTAAAATAAGAAATACTTTCTAGAAAAATCAGGACTAATCTAGTAATCTACTGTAATTAATATTTATCTAATATTCAGAAATTTTAATAATAATTATATATATATCTTTTCAGGACAGTTCTATAAGATATTCTTTAATCTATATTTAATTAGAAAAACTTGATTTTCAGTAAAAAAATAAAATAGTAAGATTAATTATTTATTTAAATTAAATATATTTAATAATTTAAAATAATAGACAATAGATAATTATAAAATATAAAACTTAATTCTAAAAATTCTGTTTATTATAAATTATAAAAATCTAGAGAAAATAATAATTAAAAAAGATTTATTTTAAAAAAGTAAATAAATATTTATAATAACTCTTTATTTAATATCTAATTAATTATTTACTTAGATATAACTAATAATATTTTTTTTATAATTCTTACAGAGATAATAGCTTATAGAACTAGTTTCTAAGTTTTTAATTTAAAAAAATAAAAATAGAAAACTTTATAAAAATAATTTATTTTATTTTAAAATATATTTTTATATAAATATAATTTATTATATTTTAATATATAGCTAATATATCTGCTGTATTTTATTTATTTTAATAAATTTAATAAATAGAAATTTATATCTAAAATTTAAAATTATAAAATAATTTCTTCTCTTAAACAGAGCTATTTAAAATATAATAAATTAGAATAAAAAATAGATTTTTATAAAAAAGATTTATACAAAACTTTTATAAAACCTTTTATAAAAATTATAATATTATAGAATAGATCTAGTATATTTTATTTATTTTATTTATTTATTTTATTTATTTAATTTATTTAATTTATTTAATTTATTTAATTTATTTAATTTATTTAATTTATTTAATTTATTTAATTTATTTATTTAATTTATTTAATTTATTTAATTTATTTATTTAATTTATTTAATTTATTTAATTTATTTAATTTATTTAATTTATTTAATTTATTTAAATTATTTAATTTATTTAATTTATTTAATTTATTTAATTTATTTAATTTATTTAAATTATTTAAATTATTTAATTTATTTAATCTATTTAATCTATTTAATCTACTTTATCTTAATAATCTAATTATTCTTTCTAATTATTC